TATTATTATTATTATTATTATTATTTATCATGTCAGATATTTATTTAAATACTTCATAAAACTGAAAATAGGCAATTCCAGAAAGCATATTATTGGCTACTAAGTAATTTCAACAGATGAATACCTAAAGAATAGATCAATAGGTATTGGTATCATGACCCTACAGTAATAAGTGTAATTAAATGCTTGTGGATAAGGAGTATTATGTCATTTCAGAGCAGTGGCATCAGGGAGGTTAGAAAAGTCAAAATGGTGGCCACAACTACATAACTGAAGCACTGCTCCTTTTTTATGTGCATCAAAACACATATCAAAAGGAGGGACAGCTTCAGTCACTTGGTTGCAGCCAACGTCTTGACTTTTTTGACACATGGGCTCCCCGTGGACATCCCTGTATCAGAGTCAAAGCATTGCTGATTTCTCATCTATACATTTTATTATATTGAAAAGCCAATCCAAAACTTGAAGAAAATTCTCTTCTAATCATCAGCCTGCTAATAACGATCCTATGCAGCGTCCTTTTTCTACATAAGAAACTAGCAATGCAATCCTCTGCATTTGAAGAAGGTCCCACTGAGTTCAATGGTGTTTATTTTTATATAAATAAGCCCACTGCAAATACACATTTCTACTATTACAATCATTATAGAGCAAATATTCTGCAAATATGTCTTGCACATATTTTAAAATCTATTTAAAAAATGCCAGCAACTGGCTACCAGACCCCTGAAAGTTTACTTTTTTGTAATGATATTGTTTTAGTCAGGATTAGTAAAACATTAGTCAGGATTAGTAAAATGTCCTTTCATAATTCCCATAAATCTGTTTGACAATCATAAATATATTTTGCTTCACAGTAGAAATTCTGAGTTTTCCTTTTAACCCTCTGAATTACTCTGCAAATTAAAAAAAAAAAAGGTTGCAATGTCGGATTCCTCCGGTAATTATCCTGACTCCACAGAAATTTGCCTTTGATAAATATTGGCAGCTCCCAGAATCCTGCAAGTCTCCAATGAAAGGCAGGAAAAGGTAGAAAGAGAAATTTAGCAAACGAGGAATTTCTCGGTACATCCTTCCTTGATCCATTTGTTCTATACAAACTGCTATTATGCTCTCCAGCCTTTGTGTAAAAAACCAAAGCAACCAATAGCAAACACATGTATGCCCAACTAGAAGTCACTCAATGTGATTGCCACGATTAAAGTTACAGCAGCTCTGGTCTTCCAGGCACGTTGTTTTTATCCTCAGAGCCATAAAAAACACTGCAGTTTAAACTTTTGTGCTGTCTTTATCTAAGAAGATGATAATGTAAGGAGAGGTCTCTTGCGCACCAAAACAGAAAACGCCCGAAAGCAGTATTCTGAAAAGTTTTAAGAATAAAAATTATACTGCTTTTCTAGAATACTAAAGCTAGCACAATTCTATTATCATCACAATATGGCAAATACAAAATGTAGTTGCGCAGTATCAGTGAAACTACAGTGGAGATAAAACCTTGGTTTTAAAAAAGTTCTCCTTCTATATTTTGACAGCTGCTGATACAGAGTAGTTGCCCCCCTCAAAAATCATATTACCTTGTGCAGCATATTAAATAAATCATTTTGCAATATTAGCTAAAATGTAAAGATTATTTGAAGGTAGTGGCTAAACATATTAGTTTGCAATGAACAAAAGTAAAAAAGACTCCCACTCTTTCTAATGGAGGGTAAAGTGTTGAAGAACAACAGCATGATCAACCACTGGCTGTTCCGATTCCAGTATCAAAGATAGTGCATAGATTCAGTTTTCTGAACAGAGAAACTGCTTGTATTTCATTTTTTCAGGGAAGCTTGGAAAGCTTTTAGTTCTGCCAAATACCATTCGGGTGCTTCTGGTCCATTTTGTCCAGTGGTCCCATGATCATATCCATAAGCCACTGTTAGTTCTTCATCCTTCTCCACTGCTCGAATTGTGCGAATACATTTAATCAGTCCAAAGCGAGGGTGAACAAACCTAGAAAATAAATAAGCATACAGCTTCAGGAAAACAAAAAGAAAAATGCAAACTATTCATTTCTGCACATGAATCAATAATTTATTTATTTATTTGTCAAATTTGTATAGCTGCCCATTTCACAAAAAAGGGACTCTGGGCAGCATACACTTAATTAAAAAACCAATAAATATATAAAAACATTCATTTTTAAAAACTATAAATAATGCACTAAATTAGGGTTCCTTAACCTCAGCAACTTTAAGATGGGTGGACCTCAACGCCCAGAATTCCCCAGCCAGCCATTTTTGTTATTTCTGAAACCCAGTAGATTTTTGGGTTTCATTTAAGAGGATTCCCGTAGCTAATTACAACCTGGTTTTAAAAGTCTACTCCATTCCAGTGGCAACTTTGATTCAAGAGCTGCACGTTGCAAAAACTCCCCTAGACATAAGTAACTCAATTCTCTGGGACCCAGTCCAGTACTTGTTTGAGTCTAGCACAGATCTCTTGCTGTGTCATGCTATATAACAACACATTTGCAATGCTAGGCTACCCATAATATTCCTTCAGATATCAACCATACAAAAACTAATATGTAGAACCAATGAAGTTACATGTAGTGGGCCAGCGTTTGGGTTAATGCTTGTGTTTCATTTAAACATGGCTATTCTATCAAGCTGTCACCTTTTTCTAGAAATGTTTTCCTTAGTTCTATTTTTAACCAAGGCAATTTTTCATGTCTTTGATTTAGTGCTGTGTCCTCAGAGTGTGTGGACACACACACAATCACACAGATCAGTGCATTACTGTGTATAATCCTGACAGTTCAAGCAACAAATAGAAACTAAATACTTACGAGTCATAAACAGAATTTGGGGTGAATGAGTGGTTTGCCTTGTGCCCCAAAGAGGCGCAGTATTTGGTTACACGGCTGTAGGGTTCTGGTACATCTATGACTGTTTCATCATCAAGGGAGATCGTATTTCCATTCAAAGCCCAGTCCCTGCTGTCCACCTGGCATTCAAAACAGTACTGCTATGACAAATATTTATTTTTATCAAATGAAAACTAACATGTATTTTTTGTGTTACATATTGTTAGAAAGAAACTGATACACAAACTATTTAGCAAATGTGCCACATCAAGTCAGAGCTAAGAGAAGAAAGGGCATTTCACTCCAATATAACTGTTCATGGACATTTTTGTTCCTGCAACTTTGGTCACAAATCTTTCATATTTCTCCTTCATTAATTTTATGCAAAAGCAGACTTTGTGTGTGTGTGTGTGTACAGTATGTGTGTGTGTGCCTTCAATTCGGTGTTGACTACTGACGACTGCCTGGACTAATCCCTGCAGTTTTCTTGGCAAGGTTTTTCAGAAGTGGTTTGCCATTGCCTGCTCCCTAGGGCTGAGAGAGAGTGACTGGCTCAAAGTCACCCAGCCAGATTTCATGCCTAAGGTGGGGCTAGAACTCACAGTCTCCTGGTTTCTAGCTTGGTGCCTTAAGTACTACACCAAACTAGCTCT